TTCTTGGGAACGTGGCTTTGCTCATGGAAGTGTCTACAAGTCTGAGTTCATAGATCTTTCTGAGAAATACAGGCAAGGGGACGATAGTCTGGTGTTCGGGGTCAAGCCTGGTGACCCCCGGGTTATGCAGAAGTTGGACGATGACGGATTGCCATTCATAGGAGCAAGGCTGCAGTTTGGTGATCCTTACTACAGCTACCTAAACCTTAACACCGGGGAAGGCTTCGTGGTTTACTATAAGTAAGTTCGGGGCGGCTTGGATTGCTGGGTGATTTGTTAGTGGAGACGTGTCACTAGGAGCCTGACTAGCGTGGAGCACACTGTGTTGACCAGCCTGGTACCAGTGTAACGGGTGATTCGCCTTGCCTCTTAGGATTATAGTCCTATGCTGACATACCCGGCCCCTCTGCTGGTTTTTATGGGCTGTTTCTTAGTGAAATTATTGGAGGTCAGTGAAGTTGTCTTTGGTTTTTCTGTGTAACAGAGCGCAGCCGGGCTGTCCTGGGTTCATTTTATAGACCAGGTGGGTCTCAAACTCAGAGATCTGCCTGCATCTGCCTCCTGAGTGCTGGGATTAATGGCTTGTGCCACCACACCCGCCACAGTGACGTTGTCTTTTAACAGAAGAAACTTTTTTATGTGCATTGGTGTGAGGGTGTCAGCTCTCCTAGAAGTGAAGTTACAGACATTTTCGAGCTGCCATGCGGATGCTGGGAAGATCGGCCATGAACACATGGTCTGTCCTGGCAGGAGGTGCCGGGTGACGCACCTCTTTAAGGAACATTGATCAGCAGAAGTTTGAAGGTCAAACAAAGCTTGGGTGGGCTTTGTGTCACACACCTCTGCTCCTAGCACGTGGGAGACAGAGACAGGAGGATCACTGCAAGTTCCAGGTCAGCATGTTCTATGCAGTGGTAGAACCTGCTTCTAGAAAACAAATCATCACCATTTCATGCATTTTTCTCCCCGTAGGAGTAAAGAGACCTGTGTTGTGGACAACATCAAAGTGTGTAGTAATGACACCGGCAGTGGGAAGTTCAAATGTATCTGCATCACAATACGAGTCCCTCGGAATCCAACCATCGGGGACAAATTCGCCAGCCGGCATGGACAGAAGGGCATCCTGAGCAGATTGTGGCCAGCTGAGGACATGCCTTTTACTGAGAGTGGGATGGTGCCAGACATTCTGTTTAACCCTCACGGGTTTCCCTCCCGTATGACCATTGGGATGTTAATTGAAAGTATGGCTGGCAAGTCTGCAGCTTTGCATGGCCTCTGCCATGATGCTACACCCTTCATCTTCTCTGAGGAAAACTCAGCCTTAGGGTACTTCGGCGAGATGTTAAAGGCTGCCGGCTACAACTTCTACGGCACGGAGAGGTTGTACAGCGGCATCAGCGGGGTGGAGCTGGAGGCAGACATTTTCATTGGTGTAGTGTACTACCAGCGCCTGCGCCACATGGTGTCAGACAAATTTCAGGTCAGGACCACCGGAGCCCGAGACAAAGTCACCAACCAGCCCGTCGGGGGGAGGAACGTCCAGGGCGGAATCCGCTTTGGGGAGATGGAGCGGGACGCTCTGTTGGCACACGGCACGTCCTTTCTCCTTCATGACCGGCTCTTCAACTGCTCTGACCGCTCAGTGGCCCACGTGTGTGTGGCATGTGGCAGCTTGCTCTCCCCGCTGCTGGAGAAGCCTCCTCCTTCTTGGTCTGCTATGCGAAACAGAAAATACAACTGCACTATCTGTGGCCGCAGCGACACCATCGACACTGTTTCCGTGCCCTACGTTTTCCGGTACTTTGTAGCCGAGCTGGCAGCCATGAACATCAAAGTGAAGCTGGATGTCATTTAACGTGATCCCAGCCATCTGAGCTGGGAGATTAGAACAAAGGGTGACTGTAATCCAGTGAGGTTGTTATGTTTAATCCAGCGAGGTTATTCACTCTGGGTCTATACAGAAATTTCAAGTACTAAAGCCAAGAATGGGCAGCTGAGAATTCAAGGCTTCCATGTCTCTGAAACATACTGAAATTGGTTTTGGTACATTAGTTCAAAATTTTTTTCATATGTCTTCTTTTTAAAAATGACTTACTGATAATAGATAAGGCAGGGACACGTCCTTTCCAGGCCCGGCTCACTGTTGCCTGCTCACTGTAGCAGACTGTCTGTCACCATCCAGGGCAGGGCGGTATATTAAACAGAAAATGGGAGCCATATGTGTAATTTTTATTTTTGTATACATGTAAACTAAAGCTATTTCTTGTACATAATTTGATGGATGAATTGGAACATAGGTATGGTCTATGATGTCATCATCACAGTCAAGGCGAATAAACAGATCTGTCATCTCCTTATGCAGCTTTGGGTGGTGTGTGTGTGATCTGAGTTGTCCTCCTCACAGTTCCAATGCGACACAATTATCAGCTACAAGCAGCTCTCCAAGATTTAACTGGCCTCTGGCAAAAGCCCACTCTGCATCAAAGTGTTTGGCTTTTTCGGTAACTCATAGTGTGATGATTTGGCACCTGTCCTGCGTGATTGGCATGTTACACTTAGCATGATGTCCTCATGGTTCAGCCATGTCTTCTAATATGACAGGACTTCCTCCTCCTTTAAGGCTGAATGTCTTTGATTAGCGAGTAACTGTGTTCCTTTGCTTTGTTTTTTCTTTCTTTTTAGCCTTTGTATGAATTTCCAGAGTACTTGTTGCAGTTTGTGTGTGTGCTTGTATTTAATATACAGCTGTATTCCCTTTTAATATACGAGTTCTTCCATAAGAAAAACACCCTGAGGTGGTTGATACTTCCCCCTTGCTATTAATAGACGCTCAGCTTTAGCCTCAGCCACCTGGTCCATCTCCTTCACAGTCCTGTGTCAGGCGGTACTGTGCAGATTGCTATTGTCACAGATAGTTGTGTGGTTGAGGGTAGCCAAGACTGACTGTGAACTTTGTCACTTTCCTGCCTCAGCCTCCAGAGTGTTAGAATTATCAATATATCCTACAATACCCAGCTAAATTTTTTTTAATTAACTTTTGATCTTAAGTTGTAGATTTTTGACCAAGAAATTGACATGGCATTAAGACAACACAAGAACTTACTCGGATTTTGCCCATTGTAGGTGTGCTTATGTATAGTTAGTTGCATGAACTGTTGTCTTCTGTGTAGATTGCCGTTACACACAGGACTCAATATCACATAGCTTGTCATTGTTGTGCCTTCTGCCTCTTAACCCTTCAACCTGTTCTCTGTAAGTTCAAGAGATACATGTAAATAGAATCATAAAATGTCGTATTTTTAAATTGACAGGGTTATTTTGGGTTTTGTTTTAGTTAAAATTCTCCTTAAATTCATCCAAGTTGTATATATTAATTCATGCCTTTGTATTGCTGTATAGTACTCCAGTGTGGGTGGACTAGTTTAACCAACCACTTTGAAGGACATTTTGATTGCACTTTGGGGCATTAAGAAAGATAAAGCTGCTCTGGACAGCCACATACATGTTTGTGTGAATACAAATTTCTTTTATCTGGGACAGATGTTAAAGAGAGCAATTATTGAGTCATAAGGTAGTTACCTAATTTTATAAGAAATAGTCAAGGGCCTGGGAAGGTGGCTAAATAAGTTACGTGCTTGCTGTGCAAGCCTGAGCACCTGAGTTTTGGATCTCCAGCACCTGCATAAAAGGCCTGGCAGGGCACACGTGGGATACCGGTGCTGGGATGAGGATACAGGACCATGGGTGCTCACTGACCAGCCACATTGGTGCATTCCAGGTTTATCGACACACCCTGTCTCCAAAGAATTTAAGGTGTAAAGCAGCAGAGGAAGACGCCTCCCGCTGACCTCTGACCTGCACACCATTCACACAGTTTCCTTTCCCTCTGCTCAGCTGCTTCTTATTCTGCAGCTGCTGGTGTTCACAGCTTGCCTGCCCTGGCTAACAAAATTGCCTTTGAGCTTCCTAATGAGCACATTGTAAGATTCTTTCATTAATGAGCTCCCCAAAAGGGAACCCTAGTAACAGAAGCCTTCTGTATGAGAGCCTCATTTCTTGGATCTGCCTCACTTCGAATCTTACGGTTACCTAGTTCTCCACATTTGATTCATAGTAGCACTTTTGACAGCGCCATCAGCCGAAAGGCACCCGGAGGTGTGGAGGTCTAAGAGGCATGTTTCCCGAAGATGGAAGTGTCTTGAGTGGTGTAGCTCCAGTCTCGCTCCTGTCATATGAAGCACATACAGACGGCCAGGGAGCTGGCATCCCTTGTCAACTGCCTACCACAGAACTGTTAACACTGCCTTTACCTAGACCTGCTGTGTTCAGGCTAAAGCCCTTGCCATCTGGTATGAAGGCCGCCGCAGTCGTCATCCTATTTTATAGTAGCATACTGCGCTGGCTATTGCCATTTCTGTCTCGATCTCCATACTGGGTGAGCAGACCTCAATTCCCGAAAAAGGAATATTTAGCCTTTTGAACAGGGAAATGAACTTCCAAGGCTAGCAAGTGTGGAGGGTGGGAACAACACCGAAGGGAATTACAAAGGAAGGAAGTTGTCTTCGATTGCAAGAAGCAAGCAGGAAAACTTTCAACCTGCCTTTACCACCTATGGCAGGAAAAGGACATGCCTGAGCGAATATCTGGAGAAGAGGTCCAGTGTGGCTATTAGGGTGATGCCTTCCCACCAAGTTAGCGCCACAGTCAGGAGGGGAGTATGCACCGGCATAAAGCCGACGGTGGCGGCTCGGCCTGAGACCTCGGTCCCCGCGTTCCTAACTCAGCAGGGGCGGCCCAGCTGCCGCAGCGTGAGGAAAGTGACAGCGCAAGCGGCTGCAGATTACACCCGCAGGTAACCGGCTCCGGTGCTCCGCTGCAGCAGAACTTCCCAAGTCCTACTTTCCCCGAGCTCTAAGCGACGCCACCACAAGCCGGAACTAAAGAAACCAACCTGAAACAGAATAGCCGACGGACCGGAAGTAGTTGTAAGGGACGCCTCCCGGACAGGCAGTGAGTCGGAAGGCGAAGCAGGACACAGGCATGGTGGTTGAACGTAGGTTGGGTGAGTGGCGGCGACCGGAAGAGTGAGGCCTGGAGGTCTGAGAGAGGGCGCCTCCATGACAACCTGATACCGGAATAGGCGGGTCTCTGCTCCCTGACTGATCGGCGTCTGAATTGCTTGGAGATGTGAGTTACGGCTCCGTATAACTCTAGATCATGCTTGTCAGGTTGCATGATCCCCAACGGGGAATGACTGCCCTCAAGACTCTTGGGAGATACTCCGGTCCTGCCTCACAGTAGCCAGACTTTGTTTTAGGACTTTCACTCTCCCCAGAAACTACCACCCTGTTCCACAGCGCCCAGGGCTCAGCTCTTACTTCTGCGCCTCGTTGGTTGCTCCTATCATAAAATGTTTAAAATCCCCAAATCCACCCTGGATCCCCACTCCAATCACAGAGTTAAGTCAGAACTCTTTCTTGTCTGCTCTTGAGATTATCTTCAGTTTGTCCTGTCCCACAGGCAGGCTGCCCTGGAAGTCACTGCGCGATACTGCGGCCGGGAGCTGGATCAGTATGGCCAATGTGTGGCGGCCAAGCCTGAGTCGTGGCATCGGGATTGTCACCACCTTAAGATGAGCATTGCTCGCTGCACGTCCTCCCAGTGAGTGTCAGACTGGGGACTAGAGGTTGCCAGGCAGTGGGGTCTGAATGCTTCCAGATCTGAAATGCCCTCCTCCCACAGCCCCATCATCCGTCAGATCCGACAGGCCTGTGCTGAGCCTTTTGAAGCCTTTGAGGAGTGCCTTCGCTTGAATGAGGCAGCAGTTGGCAACTGTTCTGAACACATGCGCCGCTTCCTGCAGTGTGCTGAGCAGGTGCAACCGCCAAGTTCACCCACAGCTGGAGAGGTAAAGCAGGCTCACTAGCTCATCTCTTTTCCCCTTCACAACTTCCGGAATTTTCTGGTTTAAAATAAATACCTTCACTTATCCTAGCCCCACCTCCAATTCCACTCATGGCCTTGGCTGTGCTTTCAGAATCTGAAACATGCTTCCAACTCTTGGGACTTCCGCCGTATCCCCAGAAACTCCCACCGTGTTCCACAACGCTCTGGATCAGCTCTTATCCGCCCCTCGTTCGTTGCTCCTATCGTAAGATCTCTAAAATTCCCCAATGCGTCCTGGGTCCCTAGTCCAATCACAGACTTGAATCAGTACTCTTTCTTGTCTCCTCTTGAGGTTATCTTCAGCTTGTCCTGTCCCACAGCCTTTGCTTTTTAGTCCTGCTGTCTTTCATACTCTTCCTCTGTCTGGGCACCTGCCCTAGCCTTCTTCCCGGCTAGCCTGAACCTCTTACTTCCGTATAGAGACCTGAATTCTGGTCACTCCAGACCCTGGCTTAAAACTCTCTAGTGGCTTCCCAGTCACACTGGGAACAAAGTCCGTGATTCTTGCTGCATCCCTTGTGTTCTTTCCTTCCCTGTCCATTTTGTATCTTTCACGGCTTTTCAGCTGTACTGGTAGAGGTGAGGGAGTAGGGTGGATAGGTGCACAAAAAATGATGTTTTTAATATACATAGTAGATAAACACATATACAATATATCTGAGATATTAAAATGTTATTGAAGAGGCAATTAGAAAAACTCTTAAAATGCTCTGGAGTTGTCAGAAATGGAAGAAAGAATGCAGAACACTCCTTTCAATGTTTTTTGCCTCTCTTGCTGGACCACTTCAAAGGGAAAACACATACCTTTAAACACCCTGCTCTGAGTACCTCTCCTGGGTCTTCTGTCCCTGCAACTTTGCCTTTTCTTTTTCATCTTCTTCTGGGTTTCTATCTGGTTCATCTTGTCCTTTCCTATCCTTCTGTGATAGGCCCAGAAATTCTACCTCTGTGTGGTTTTGCTTCTACTGGAACAGCTCTCTCTCCACTGCAACCTGGATCCCAGTGACTCTGCCCCTATCCCTCTCCAGTTTCCACCTCTAGCTCCATGCTCCACCCTAAGTGGACAAATGAACAGTTCTCAAGAGCACATCTGAGCACATCTGCCTTGTCTCTTCCAGATATTTCACTCTGCCTTGACTGCCCTCCAGAGTCCATCTCCTGTCTAGTTCTTATCCTGTTTACATGGTTCTTCTCTCAGAAAACCTCCTCTGTCCCTCTTTTCCTATTTGCTGGCTTTTAAGCTCCACCAGAGCCAGGCACAGTGGTGCACACCTTTAATCCTGGCACTCAGGGAGGCAGAGGCAGGTAAGTTCAAGGCCACCCTGGTCTACAAAGTGAGTCCAGGACAACCAAAGCTACACAAGAAATCCTGTCTTGAAAAACCAAAAAAAAAAAAAAGGGGGGGGGCATCTCCACCAGCTTCCCCATCCTGGGTCATACCCTGCTGTTTCCCTTGATTCAGGAGAGTTCTTGGCTAAAGTTTATCCTCTTACTATGCCTGATAGTCATTGGTTCTTTATATAGAACAGGGATAGATGAAAGATTTAGGTTATAAGAGTAGAAACTGCCCAGAAGGACTTTTAAGCCAGGTGGTGGTGGCTCACACTTGTGATCCTACCACTCTGGGAGGCAGAGGCAGGCAGATCTCTTGTGAGTTTGAGGCCAGCCTGGTCTACACAGTAAGTTCAGGACAGCCAAGGCTACAGAGAGAAGTCCTATCACGAAAAAAAAGGGGAAAAAAGTTTTAATTCTCTACAAAAAGTGTTCAGGAATGATTGCATATTGTCCGTACTAATTACCCAGCCATCTCATAGGAATGTGTATTTCTTTCAAGTGTTTTCAGCATCTGGACCATAAAGCCCTTTCATTCCTTTTTGTTTTGGTTTGGGTTTTTTGTTGCTTTTAATTTTAGTTTTGCTTTTTTGTCTTATGTGTATCCGTGTTTTTCCTGCATGTATGTGGGCCATGTGGGCCTGGTGTTCATGGAGGTAAGGGTAGGGCTTCAGCTCTCCTGGAGTCCTCTGGATGTAGAGTTACTATGGTGGCTCTGAACCACCATGTGGGTGCTAGAAATGGAACCCAGGTTTCTTGCAAGAGTAACAAGGGCTGAGCCATCTCTTCACCACCTCTTCCTTTAAGGTTGGCAGTTCTTTGTAGACAAGCAGCCATCTCTTCTGAGTCTCCCTCAACCCCACAGTTTCTCTTCCCCACAGCTAGAAGAGGAAAAGCTTTGAAATGGAAACTACAGCAGGGAGGTGGCTTGGCTGCCGGGTCTGGTAACTCGAGTTCTATCACCTGTTCCTACAAGTTGACCTCTGCTGTGCATGCACAGCCACTCGTAGACATCCACAACAAAAATTAATGAATGTAAGAGTGAGAGACAAAATGGAAATTAAGTCACCTGTCCCCCACTTGGCTCTCAGTGCTCTAAGGATGACTAACACCCAGTTCCTTCCACTGTCCTGCTCCTCCATGCCCGACGCCATCACAACCTCAACTCCTCCTAATTGGGGGCGGTGAGATTTAGGGCTCATCTGTTCCCTTTATGATCTTCACATGAAAATGTCCCCATCTACCATGTGATATACAGGCCTTAGTGGGAGGGCTCATATTTATGTTGCTGACAGTCCAAATGCTTCCTGATTTTGCACACAGACTTTTGTTCTTTAGCCTGGTGCATAGAATTTCCTACCATGTGACTAATTTTCTTCTTTGGGTGTCTCTCCCTCCTGTTTTGAAAGGGAGTTTCCCAGAGTGAAAGACTTTTGCCCACTGAGTCCCTAGCACCTGAAACAATGCTGGCGCTTGGCCTGTAATCCTAGCTGAGGTAGGAAGGTTGTCTTGAATTCAAGCCAGCCTGAGTTCCCTAAGTGAGTTCTGTATCAGCCTGGGTCACTGGTGAGGCCCAAGCCAACCCGGGCTAGAGTGAGACCCTCTCTTTCAACCTCCTGTAAAAAATTAAAAATAGAAACAGAAGAGTACCTTTCAGTTCCAGGTTTCAGCTTACCCTGGTCAACTTGTTCTCATGGCAAATAACCAAGGTCACCTCTTGGCACATTTTCCCTCCAGACTGAACAATATGAGGACAGCCATTGCTGTGTCTACATTATCTCCCCATCAGTGGTCTCCAGGCCAGTAAACTTCAAAATGTTTTCTCCACAGGCACAGCCACTTCCTGCCTCCTGAAGACCCCTTGGACTTTAAGAAAACTTGACATGAGTGACTATCCCACTTGACATCCTTATTCAGAAGAGTTATCATTTTGGAGTCTTGAGGGCTGTGCTGTGGGTCTGGTTTTCCTGGATATCAGGACTCTAAATAAATAAATAAAGACTGAGTACTGGGCTTTGATTCTAGCCTTTAGCATGAGAGGACCACTGTGTGACCTGGAGGAAATCTTGGTCATCCATGCCCCAGCTTTACTTGGTCTGCTAAGAGCCCAGGCAGAGCTAGGCTGCTCCTGCTCCAGGCTTAGGATTAAGATGACTCAGCCATTCTGTCCCTTGCTGTGTGTACGTTGGGGAAAGGCTGCCCTCCCACCCGCAGTCACCAGATTGTTTTTCGTTTGTTTTAAGTCTAAGCAATCCTGAAGTTCATTATGTGGACTAAACTGGATTCAGATTCACAGCAGTCTCTCTGAGTGCTAGGGTTACAGGTGTGAGCCACCAGCTTTCTTCTCTCCAGAATTAGAGATAGAGACAACCCACAGCCTCACAGATGCCAGTCAAATGCATTCTACCTACAACTGTGCCCGCAGCCTACATTCATCTTTATACAGTTTTCTTGAGGCTTGGAGGAGGAGCAATAAATAGCACATTTTTTTCCACTGCTGAATCAGAACCAGTTGAGCAGTAGACACAGGCCTTGGGCAGTGGATGTAAAGACTGACCGTATTGAAAACAACCCTGTAGAGGCAGGAGCAAGGCATGAGAATCAGAAGTTCAAGGTCATCCTTTACTACATAGTTTGAGGCCAGACTAGGTCCCATCTCCCTAAATATATTTAAACACTGAAAAAAACGTTGAAGGACATGGCTTGGAAACTTCTTTCCCTAGGTTTTTGTTTTCTATTGATTATCAGTTTCCCAGAAGCCAAGTCTCAGAACAGGCACTGATAGTATATTCTCAGACTGAATCCAGAAATAGTGGTGGGAGTGGGGAAGGGAGGCAAGAAAGTAGCCAATAAAAGTGTGTTTTCTGTGAGGATCCGCACTCACTTTCGCCGTTACAAGATGGCGCTGTGTTCTAAACTGACAAGCAAGTAATCTGCGCATGTGCAAAGGGACTTTCCACTCTGTGTGCTCTGCCTCTCCCGTGGTGTCATCTCACGCGATGAGCAACCACCAATCGGGGACTGACACATCCTAGGCGAAGGACAGTTTCCTATATAAGGGAGGGGTCTTTGCCACTCGGGGTCTCCGCTTCTACTTGTTGTAAGCTTATGCTCTCCCTCTCAGGACGCATTAAAGCTTTACTGCAGAAGGATCCTGTGTGTGCCGCGTCGTTCTTGCTGGCGAGACAGTAGCGCGAGCCACAGTTTTCAGTGTGGCAAGGTGAATCAGTGGGTGAGCATGCTTGCCACCAAGCCTGATGCTGAGCCTGATCCCCAGGGCCCGCGTGTTAGAAGGGTAGAACTGACTCACGCTAGTGGCCTGGCCTTCACTGTGCTCCATGGCATCCCTTGCCTCCCACCCCCAGTAAAGCAGAATAAAATGTAATTCTAAAGACTGTGTTATCAAGCTGGTTACCACCATGGGGAACGGGGCCTCCAGGATGGCAAAGAACCTCCTGTGTCTAGAAAATGAGTGTTTTTACCAGCCCCCAGCCTGTGAGGGAGGGCCACTGTCAGGGATTGACCCTTCCTGGCACCTCTGTCATGTGACCAGCATTAGGAGAGGACAGCATGCAGAGATAATGGGTTCAAGTACAGAAGAGAGCTGGCCCGTGCGGATCTGAATGGTGCTGCCTTCCTTGTGTTCGTAGCAACAGCTCTTTGGTTGCTCACTGACTCCCCGACATGATCAGGTCCAGGGTACAGAGAGAGAAAGCCCAGGGGTAGCATTCCCGTACAGACTTGAATTCTCACAAATTTAACTGCTAAGGAACAGAGGCTGCAGGATCTGTGGGAGAAGCCTGATCAGGAACAAGGAATAAGGTGGAAAAGGCCATTTTGTGTTGGTGAAAGGATATTAAAATCTTAACTTGTATTACGCAGACTACCGAGGATTGTTATTTTTGTGTGAACCTTCCGGATTGTTAATACCAACCAATCTCTAAAAATGTATTTATTTTGTGACAGGGCCTCATCTATCCCTAGCTGGCCTTGAACTCGCTGTGTAGCCAAGGAAGACTTGAACTTCTGTTCTTCCTGTCTCTATCTCCCAAGGTCTGGGATTACAGGACTGTTTCCCATGCCCAGTTTATGTGGTATTGAAAATCCAACCCAGAGCTTTGCGCACACTCGGCAAACACTCTGCCAACTAGCTAGACCGCAGATCAGTAACAATTACTCCTGTCAGCCAGCTTCAGGATTTCAGAGATCCCTTCATCTCCAGAATTTTTTGCTTCAACAATGCCCATAACCTCCATACAGATTAACCACTGCAACAAGTTTCTCCTCCTTTGAGGTGACTCCAAAAGTAGCCAGCCATTTGTATCCCAAGATTTGTGTCGTGGCTTAGAAATCAGCCTGACCCAATGGGAGTTTCCTCTGAATATTTGCTTCCAAAAACAAAAGAAACTTGTTAGCTTAGGAGTCCAGGTGGAAGTCCTTTAGAGTCAACATAGGAGGAGCTCCCAGGTGCTGGCTGCGTGGGCTAACAGACTGAAGGGAACCGGAAGTGGATGAACAGCTGGTCTCATAGCATTGAAAGTGCCACCTAGGGCCTGATGACTTTCTGCCCCCAGCTCATTTTCCTGGGCTGTGTGTTGGGCCCTCAGACTTTGAAGCATGTTTTCAGCCCAGCTTTTTTTTTTTTTCTTTTAGTGTGGTTTCTGCTTCATGCTCCTAAAAGTGTGATGAGAATAAGCAAAATGGAGGTTGAGACTAGAACATTTTTATATGGCCTCTTTTTGGAATGCAGGGTCCAATAGAGTGAAAGGGGAGACCTCAAAGGCATCATGCTATTATCTTCTATTAGCCCATGAGTTCTTTTATTTTTTTTTTTCCAAGACAGGGTTTTTCTGTGTAGCCTTGGCTGTCCTGGAACTCACTCTGTAGACCAGGCTGGTCTCGAACTCACAGATCTATCTGCCTCCGTCTTCCAAGTGCTGGGATTAAAAGCATGTGCCACCACTCCGCAGTGGCCCACGCATTCTTGAGACTTCACTAATTAGAAGAATGGAGACTTCACTTCCAGATGACATTCGGCTGTAAAGACTGTGCTTAGCTGGGTGGTTGGTGGCCCACACCTTTAATCCTAGCACTGGAGAGGCAGAGGCAGGCGGATCTCTGTGTTCAAGACAGCCTGGTCCTAGGATAGCCAGGGCTGCACAGAGAGAAACCTTGTCTTAAAGAAAAAAAAAATTTAGAAAAAGAATCTGTGCTTTGGTTATGGAAACAAAACAATTTTATGGTGTTTTGTTTCTTTAGCTGTGTCTGGCTTGGTGATTGTATTTTCTCTGGGAATTTATCACATTATCGGTTGTCATAAATCTGTTCACAAAAACCATGTTAACCTAAGGTCCATAGCATCTATAGTACTGCCTGTCTCCCTTCAGGCCCTGTACCTGTTCCCTACTTTTTTTTTTTTTATTATCAATATGGACAGGAGTATGTCAAGTTTATTAATCTTTTCTTCTAATTTGTTTTTAACTTTGTTGATCATTATTTTGGCTCATATTTGATTGAGACAGGGTCTCCTGTAGGCCAGGATGGCCTAATTTTACTGTGTAGCAAAAACTGACCTTGAGTTCCCAATTCTCTCACCTCCGAGGACAAGTGTGTGCCACCACACACAACCTGGATCTTTTTGAGATGAATGTTTCACTCTTTTCCATTACTAAGATATATACATTACATCGGTCATACAGCATATTTTCCTAATTTTATTTCTTTATTGGTATGGATTATTTAGAAATTTAGAGGTATATTTCTTAATTTCTAAACATATGGGAATTTTTCTAGTTATCTTGCCTCATTAAGTCAGTTTGGTAACATCTTTTACATTTCAGTCTTTTGAAATTTGTCACAGTTTTATGGTTTGGCAGAGGCTCAGTTTTGTTAATGTGCCATATGCGCTTGAATCATAACTCCCCATGATGCACCATGGTATCTTAGGGATGTGAGAAAGGGGTTGGGAGATGATGAAAAGAAAGCCATGGTAGTAGAACAGTGAGAAGTGTGGCAAGGAAAGGAAAGCCCTCACCAAGCACACTGTCACTGTGGGAGACAGCCTTGTCCTCTGGGGACTGTGGGGGATAGGGCATTCCCACTCCAGGGGGGAGGCACACCAACGTCCAGGACCCCTTGGGTTGAGGACTATTTAGTTGAGAGCTTTCGTTTTTGTTTACTGCTACTTCCTGCTTGCCATACGTGCAGGCAAAGAGACGGCCGTCAGTCAGCCAAATATGGCTGCCTCATCTGGTTGCCATTATCCACTAAATTCATTTCAGTTGTAGCCACCATCGTGGTTACTACGCATTGCCTCAGCTGCCGTTCATTGCCTTGGTCTGTCACAGCTGCCACAGGTGGCCATCATCATCTTACTCACCCTTCCTGCCCATCACTGCTGTCACCAATCACCCTATCCCACCATGGCCACCACTGGTGAAAATATTTTTGATAAATCCTGACCCACTTCACAAAGAATGCCAAGAAGATGTGCTGGGCATGAAGAGTGGATTGGGCACATTGTTGGAGTAAGATAGAAATGCTGGGGGAGATAGGCTGGTGCTGATGCGGTTTTTAAGACAACTGACTCGCCCAGAATTCCAAGGGGGCAAATGTTCCAGCCAATGGGCTATGGGTGGGAAAAGGTGGGAGATGTCAACCAGGAAGCAGAGCATGTCTTCAAGAACCTCCATTTTATCTTTGATGGCTTTCAAGATGGAGTTTTGTGGTGCTATTCAATGTACCCTACTGAAAATCATAATCACTATAATGATAGTATTTGTCAGCACCAACCTCCCATGGTGTAAGCCAATTAGTGCCATCAAAACTACCTTTGAAAAGAAAGACAGGGTGTGGTGGTACACACCTGTAACCCAAGCTCTTAACAGACTAAGGTAGGTAGATTACAGTAAATTTGAGTCCAGCCTGATCTACCTAACAGGCCAGTGGAGATGATACATAGCAAGACCTTGTCTCAAAAACAAAGCAATAAAAAAAAAAAAGGCA